CTATTTAAACTAGAGTTGTGAAGGGAGTATCAAGGTTTCAGAGCTATACAGTCAAACAAATAGACAGTGTCAAAGATAACGACTACTTTTAGAATAAAAATTCAAGGGGGATGTAGTGTTTTGCTGTGTCTTCCTCTGCTCCCTGCAATTTGTTGCACTCCTCTAGATTGACCACTGATTATTACCTAAATCCAGGCATTTGAGGACTTCATTACCTCTCCAGATTTTAACTGTCTTTTTTTTACCTTTACAATATTAACAGCATCCACATACACTTTCTAATTTCATTTGTGTACATTGATGCAGTTGCAGGGTTTTAAAAATATTATAGAAAGACATCATCTTTCCCAGAGTAATAATTCTCTGAAATGGTGAAATATAGCATATTTATATATAATTATTTTTGTCAACCCAGACCCTTAAGTTCTAGAGAGAACAAAGGGTTCTTGAAATTCATCTTTAAGTCACAGAAGGTCTGGGACTTATCCTTGAAGCTGTTCAATTCAAAATAATTCATTAATGTCAAATAAAAGACCCTGTAAAGAATAATGTTTATTCCTCTAAGCCTTTACTGAAAGACTGTGTAAGCACTTCTTGAAAGTTTAATCATTGAATAAACCTTTTAAAGGGAGGAGGGGGAGGAGCATGGCATGAACGTTGTGTGTTCACTTAATGAATTGTTCATCTGCATCTGGCCTGCTGCATGCTTTTTTTCTATGGAAACCTGTTATTAGAGTATAATGATTGGGGGGGGGGGGGGGGGGGGGAGGGGGGAAACCCAAACAACAGAAAAACAACACAGCTATACAGTCAGGAGCATGGAGGATGTATTTTCTCATACTGCCAAGAGCCCAATAGCATTGAGGTTGTTCTGGTTTGGCATAAAAGTGTTGGGAGTCATCATGCCATAAGGCTCAGCTGAAATCAGGGGATATGTTCAGGAGGAACTGCGTCACCCCCCCATCCCAGACTGCAGCCTTCTTCATTTAGGTACCCCAGGGACTGAGCTGGTGGCAGAGCTGCTGCTTATTACCTTGAATCATGATGTACTTCAGTAACTGCATGCATCTCTTCTTTCTCTGTGCTGGATGTCATTCTTCGTGGGAGTCTGGATAAGTATTTCAGTCTGTAGGAGTTCAGGAGAGCTAGGTATTGCCTAGCAACAAGCATCCCACTCTGCCTCCTGCTTCTCTCTACTTTTATTAAAATACCAGTGAAAACCAGAAGTTGAAGCATTAAGTTAATTTTCAGAAATATTTTGAGTAGCTTAAGATATTTTTGTTATGACACTACATCAGAGAAACAGGGGTGTTGGGAGGGGGGTGGCTGGAATCTTCTTAAAGCAATAACTCTGCTTGCCTTGTTTGAATGGAAATCACAATCAAAGACTAGTATAGCTGAGGACAGAATAAACGTTATGATTGCAGTTGTTTAGTGAGTAATAGAATGCATAGCAAGTGCTCCTTTGGTCCTGTGGGGTCTATAAAATATGTAGCAGTTACAGTTAACCTAAACTGAATGTGTTTTAAGCTGTAATTACCCAGTTCATCTTGCAGCTTGTGATGGCTGCTGGTGGGACAGGCTTGTATTGGAATTTAAAGTTTGCTAACTTTTTTGTAGACAACTTTGTGGCAAAATGTTTTGACTAGTTTCAGTGACAATGGTACAAAACTCAGTTTACAGAGATGCTGGGGGCTAGGCCTGAGGTGAAAGAAAGGTAGGCACTCGAAGTACAGCTTAGGTGGATTTTTGGGTATACTGATTCAGTGCAATGCTGCACTGAATTTCAGCCTCTCCTGTCCTTTTTCGATTTTAAATATTGAGGACTGCTGCAAATCTGTAGCTCATGATTAATGTGTATTTTACCTGTAGCTTCTGCAGAACATCTGCTTGATGAAGTTTATGAATTTCTGTGCAAGAACTTGTTTTTTAATGAACTAAAGTGGGTTTCTATGTTCAAAACTGTTCTGTTTGTAGAGACGAGGGCACCCTTACACACAGAGTGGCCTCTCTATAGAAATATGCTCAGCATGATTGTCCTGAAACCCTTCTCATGTTCCTTACTCTGGTGCATGATTCCTGCTCAGCTCCACTGGTGGGTGGGGTGGGGATGCTGGCCAGGATGGGCCTACCAGGGCATTTACTCTGATCAAGACAGGTTTTCAGAATGGACTGGGTGTTGTAATTTCTGTTAGATTTTCTCTTGCTGTAGGAGAAAGAATCTAATATTTGGTGGCACTTACAAGCTTTATATACTTCTGGGATCTGAAAACACATTTTTAAGATGATGGTTAGCCTTTGACTGGAAGTGACTATAATGCTGTGTTTTATACTTAAATTTCTTTCTTTTAGTTGAAACTGATGGTTTGTTAGGTGCTTTGCTCTCTGATTACTTAGAGTCCTTTTGAAAGAAAGGTTTCAAATCAGGAATATTTTGCAGTTGCCTTGTCAGGTAGATTTTCTTCTGGTATAAAAACCACTTGATAGAAATGGAAGATGCTTCTATTTGAACTTTCATGTCTGTTTCCATATTTCTGATAGTTGAAACTGAGATTTCACAGTAAGCTACTGAAAATCAAAGCCTAGAGCAGGTTCCACAGCAGTGTAGAATGGGTGCACTAGATCTATAAGGATGGGTGTTCCTATTTTTCATAGGCATTTCAAAGGCATTTCATCTGAAACTGAAACTTTTTAGTTCTTCTGAAAATCATCAAGAGATTTGTGGAATTATTAGTTAAATGTCATTTTCAGATGAATGGTTTGCTCTTAATTTTCTTCCCCAAAGCAGCCTAAAATACTTGCAGCGAAGAGGCCTGTGGCGCGTGTAGCAAGTGTGCATTGGCCACCAAAATCAGTGCTTTTGGTCTCCCTGGTGGTCAGTGCTAGGGTATAACCCCTGTCCTACCGTCAAAGCATGTGTATCATGGTGGAGCAGTGTTGTGGGAAGGTGGCACTGCCGGAGCTTGTGGTGTGCCCTGCTTGCACTTGGCAAAGAGGAGAACAAGCAAAAGCCCCTCCATGGAGGAGTGATGCAGTGATGCAAGGACACGAGCAATTCAGTGCTTGATAAATTGTGTAGACCTGAAGAGATTTAATAAACAAATCCGATTTGTCATTGCTAACGAAGTAGCTTTTTCACGAGGAGGGCTGTTGTACCTGATTTAATAACGCAAAACCAGCTGTGGCTATGGCTAGTTGGATAGCCTTGTGTTGGCAGGTTTGAAACACATACCCATGTTTGCTGTGTCACCGTAGCCACAGTAACCTAATAGGACTTCAGCATTTGTGTGTAACGTGAAGCTAAGTTGTGTTGTAGGATCGTGTGTGTAGGGAGGAGTAATGACGAGAAAACCCAGAGAATTGGAAACAATTGCAGGTCAAAATCTGTCTTCCTCTGACAGAGACCCCATGAAGCTTTTGAATACATTACATATAATTTTAAAGAACTTGATGACTCGGTCGTTTCTTGCTCAGGTTAGGTAATCACACCATGCAAATCCGGGACGTGGAAAACCTAGTCCACTTGTCCCATTTTTTGGACATTAGCACAGAGAAAGAGTGGCTAGTAGAAACTCAAAGGTGTCTCTTCAAGTGTGCAATTTAAAAAAAAAAAAAAAAAGAAAATCTGCTTCATAAAATGGAAGTTCTGAAGCAATCCAAATAATGCCAAGGGAGACTAAACTTCAAAAAGGAAGGAGTCTACAAGATGCATAGGAGATTAGGCAAATGGTCTACAATAGTTAACGTTCTTTAAGCCTACGGTATTTAGTTACATTTAGGTGTGTCAGTGTTTGCAACCTCTTCTCATTCATATGAAAATTTGGATCTTTCTTTTTTTTCTATTAACCTTCATATTTTCTTAGAAATAAATTAAGCGCATGGTGTTTAGTCAGTGTAATAGTAGCACAGTATATGAATATTTACTAATTTTATGTGCTTAAGGGAGCTTCTTGTCTTGTTTTCAGTGTAAAAGTTTGCTTAGTGTTTGGAAACCTGTTAGTCATGCTGTTGTATATACAGCAGTAATGAAATACTGAGTTGTGGTTTAAAAGCAGACAGGTGATGCTCCACTGCTATTTGAAGGATGACCTTATTTTGAATGATATAAAAATAACAGCAGATTGTTTATAATAACTCTCACAGCAGATTTAGATTCTTGACTTCACACCATTTCCATTATTGAGACATGTGTAAGTAGCATTTGCTTCCAGATATATGCACATATTCTGGCAAGAGGTTTAAGACATACTGTCTATTATTTACATTTTGGAGATCTGAAGCTTTTTTTTTCCTCCCTAAGGCTTTAAAAAAGTTAAACTACTGGTTTACTATATTTTATTAAACTTGAAGGACCCTCCCAAAAGTGTAATATAGTATTTAAATCTTTATATACATTTTTCTTTTATGGATTCAAATGGAAACATAACTAAAATAATAATTTATCCATAGGAAACCTTTCAAGAAATACATATTCAAATTCTGTAATGGTCTTGCACAGCTATTTCCCATGGCTGGAGTATTGACTGAGCTCGCTAATAAATATAATTTGCCTTTTAATATGTTATTTGTCCAGATCTCACATAGTATTTCTGGGAAGCACATTCTGAAATACCAGTAAAGAATATTTGCACTCGGTAACTGCTGGAAAGTTTACCTGTACAAATGCAGAGTACTGATATATATAATGGGCCCTGAAGATTAATTAAAGCAGTTGGGATTTAGTGCGCTTAGGTAGCAGCTCAGAAATTAAAAGACAGTGAGACCACTGACTAAAATCATTACTTAAGAGGAAACATAAGGCTTTGTCCAATATACTTTTTGTCATATATATCCAGTTTTATTTAAAGTGCTTATAAACTTACTGTTCTTGTGACCTCTGTTTTACTATGAAACAGATACCTGTGGTTAGGATTTTTATTTACATATACAATAATATTTGAGAAAGTAATGAACCTCTAAGAAAATACATCAATTAAATTATTTCATCTTTTCTTTTTCAGGATTGAAGTGGATCTAGGGACAAATGGATGACTGAATATTCATATGAAGAGGAAAGCCATAAAAGTTGGTTGACATTTTTACAGCCATATGCATTATACATATTACTGCTATTATCACAAATTTATATTGTGTTACAAAATATAATAGATGAAATAACTGGTCTGAGCTTCATAAGCCATATTGTCTTTCAGGCAGGGGAATACTATAGCTTAGCACAGCTGTAGCCTAATGCAGTAGTTTCTGACCAAACCTGAATATTCAAAGGAAAACCCAGTAGTACATTAAGGAAATAGGCAATTTCTTTGAAGCCAGGTGTTTGAATAGGCTGGTGCATAGTGTTGTTCATTATTCTTATGCTCAAGGATGAAAGGAGAATGAGAGAGGCATTGCCTGCCATTACAGCTACTGTCTATGATGCTGAATATGTTGTGGAGTGACACTCAGATGCCAAATGCATATTGACAACTGCTGTTTAAGAAGTCAGACAGGATATGGTATCTTCAGAATTGCCTTGGTGCTTTGTTTCCTTATCATAGTGAGATGGCTGTCTTACAGCATGCATTTTCTGCACTGGTTAAAAAGGAAGAAGCTGTTAGTGGACCCCTGTGCTTTACTGACTTTATTGTTATGCTTTATAAGATGATAAAATTCAGTGGGCCTTGGCATCTGTCAGTCTGACTTGTGAACTATAGGCTTTGGCTGGGATGCTATGTTAAGCAATTCCTGCCAAGGCTGTTTAAACAAAGCTGAGGGTTTATACTGGAGCAAATGAATTGTAATGACAAATGCAGGGTACGGAACAGTGGGATACAGGGCACGGTCCAGCAGGATGATGCATAGCAGCTTGATTAAATAAGGCGTTCTGGAAACTACTAGTCAAGGAGGGATATGTTATGGTGGAAAAACTCTTCCCTAGAGAGCCTTTTTCAACCCCTGAATCCCAGTCAGGGGTGAGAACAATTAAAAAAAAAAAAAAAAAACCCCAAAAAAACCCAAAAACCTCCATTTTTTTTCAAAAGCACAGTGCCAGTTCAATACCAGAAATGTAAGTCTATAGTTCTATTAACTTGAACAATGTAGTTCAGGAGGACAAAGATTCTTATTTATCTCAGTGATAAGTTGGTTTTATCAAACTTTTAGTGGTTTGGAAGTTTTACAGTTTAGCAACAACTGACTTGGATGCAGAAGATTCTATTTCCTTCTTGGGTATGCTTTTGTAGTGTTTACAACAGTTAGTGGACATGCTGATCCTAGCTACCTCCAGATTCACAAGCAGCGTAAGACAAGGAAATCATCTGTGTCCTTGAATCCAGTCTCCCAAAACAACAGCCAGTGAAACAATCTTTACCTCAGAAGCATCCATAGAGTATCTGCTTTATATATTGCAGGTCCTAGAAAACACCTCCAGCCTCCAGGAGCCAAATTTAAACCAGTAGAGACGGCGAATGGTATTAGTAGCTCTGCAGTAATGTCCGTGGTTTCTCTATGGGATCAGGAACCCATATGCCCAGATATAAAACAGCAGTTGTTGCCTGCAAAAATCAATGTGCAAAATCTTAAGGAATTTCTCTTTGATTTGATTGCTGATATGTCGGCTTCTGCTGCCCATACTGATGTCTGATAGCTCGGGACGGGTTCGCATCATGTGGGAGCAAACCCTTCTCTGCTCAGATCTCCTGGCCATGAATAGCAGAGTGAAAGACTGATAACCAGATAAACCTTGATTACATCTTCCAGAACTGCAGTGATAAAATCCTGCATGTACAAACTCTGGGAGGCTCTTTACTGGCAGAAAGTGTAAGAGGGTGCAAAGACCAAACTAATTATCTGTAAGCTATCTCTGGATATCATTATGTTGAAGCAGACTCCTGTGCTGTCTTCTGGATAGCATGAGAGTACCACCAGCATAGTGTGGTAATGTTTTGCATTGAACTGAGGAGAAACTGGGCCAGACCTAGAGGACCATCTTTGGTATTTGGCTTGGGAAGTGACACCAGGACAGAAAAAGTTAAGGATTTGTCAGATCCTTGAGAGGGGCTGTCATAACCAGAGTCTGCGCAGAGGAGGGAGGGCTTCAAGATCAGGCAAACGCAAAAGACTGTAGGACTCACCTGTCCTTTCCCCAAATTTCTTGGGAAAGACTGCAGTTGCATGAGAGATGGAGCACTGCTAGCTCTGTATCTCTGTTCGTGTCTCTTTTTGCCTTTCTGGTTCAATGCAAAGTGATGGCAGAAGAAAGGAAGAACAGGAGGGCAGGGTGACCTCTTTCTTGTTAAGCCATAGTTCCACTCTCTCATGACCTTCTGATGACATCCTGCAGTAATCATGGGGAAGCTACACAAAATATGTGCAGATAAGGAAGGAGATACTGAGTTATTGCTTTACATGTTTTCTGTTTGGCAGTCTTTGCAAATGTAGGGCACTGAATCCAGCTGTTAATTTTCATGTTAAGAAAGCACCGTGATTAAATCATATCACTGAATGTGAAAAAAATGTGGTTATGTGGAGGAATTCAAAGTCTGCGGCTAAAAAATTCCTTTTCTGGGAAGATTGATTCCAGAAAACTTAGTCAGTAGAGGTGGAGAGGGCTGCTCTGTGGACACTGTTAAGATCAGTTGATAAAGTTTGAACTCCAATGGGAAAGAGATTGGATTTCACCCAGCACCCTTCATCAGCCTTTCACTTTATTGCTACTTTGCTAACCAAGTTTTGAAAGCTTTCCGTTGCTAACATGAGTATGTTGGTATACCACTGAGGGTGTAAACCACTTGGGTTGCATCATCTGTATGTTATCTTGGTATATTTTAGGTCTTTGGTCTGCCTCAGACCATATCATAATATATGTGAATGTGGTTTTATATAAATAACTGACATCTAAGCATATATACAACTAATGAAGGAGATATGTACATAAACGTTTGCCTGATAAAATGAGGTCAGAACCTTTCCCAGAAAAATTAGAAATATGCAAAATAAACCTGGTGGCATACGTGTATATTAAATGCACTCAGCTTACGATGCTTCTGTGTTTTCCATAATAATGGCAACTGAATCCAGAGGTTCAGTTTTCTGAACTGTTGAATTTCACATTTAAAGTTTACATTTTTCAGTCTACAAAGATTGAATGTGGATATATGGAGATGAGAGACTAGGGTAGGAGCTGCTAAGGAAATGGGTAAATGACAGGGAAGAACTACAGCTCAAAAAGACCCAGGCAAAATAAAGATCAAGACTTCAAACCAAGTGGGTAGGACTGAAAGGAGGTCAGAGAGTGAAATTAAATGGGAAAAGAGGTTGGTCAGATTGAAAAGGCAGGTCTGGGTTGTACTTAATGAGTGGTCTTGGGTGCAGTCTCCCACTCACACTGGTTTCACGAACAGCTTGCTGAAATACTACTGGGCAGTTCATGTGATCAGGCTCAATGGTGTTCTAATTTGTTTATCATTTTTCGAGCATTAAATAACACAGAGCTGTATTGAATTCAGTGGCATTAGAAGATGACTGCTTATTTTCTAAAGAGGTCTATGTGGTAAGCCTGAGAAGTATTGCTGTCTCATGAATGTAACCTGTGTGTCATCTCTTTAAAAAAAAACAAAAACAAACCAAACCAAACCCAAAACCCCACAAAAAAACAAACCCAACCAAACAAAAAAAAAAACCCCAAAACCAGCCACCAAGAGCAAACTGTCTCAGTTGTTTGGGATGGGTTCAGTTCAAGGGGGGGTGTTTCTTGAACTCTCCAGAGCTCACTCCGTCTCAGCAGCCTTCCAGCCTCTGAAGTGCCCTCGGGCGCTGGTGTGGAGCCGGGCGTAGCGGGGTGCAGGTCCTGGGAGCTGTCAGCTGCGTGCGTGGGGCTGCGGGGCCTTACCCTGCCACCTCGGCAGCCCGCGGAGATGGGCGGGCAGGGACCTCATCCAGTGCAGGGAAGGGAAAAGTCCTGCACCTGGGGAGGAGCAACCTCATGCTCCACTGCAGGCTGGGTGAGCCCCCGAGTTGTCTCGTCTGGCTTGGAGCTACCCTGGTTTTCGATGGACTTTGGACTCATGGCACTTTTAAAGTCTGGTCATGATAAGAATTTATATTTTTTTTAATGCTTTTGAGGGTGTTTGAGGAAGTTTTATGGTTTTATTTACATAGTCAGAATATTAGTTGCAGTGTGGTGATATGTCTAGGTTTTGTTGTCAGCTGTCCCCTCCATATCTAGCGAATGCAGTTTTCCTAGAAAGAAAGTGACTGCTCTTGAGTGGTCTTTCACATCTAACATCATTCAGTGCATTCTTGGAGTATAATTATGACTAGAAACATCAACAGGATAAAATATGTTAATCTCAGGGGAGTTAGTTTGCACTGGCCATCAGTCTGTCCCTTCTGTCATGTGCTTTTCAGTTTAGATTAGTCTCAGGCAAAGAGGTCATAGTTTGATGTTTTGTCTCAATTCATTATGATTATAAATATCTTGGCCAAAACAATGTAACAAATGACCACTTAAAAATGACTGATGGTCCCATTCAGCAAGGCAGGGAGACTGTGAAGTTCTTTTGGTTTCATCTGTTGTCTAGCATTAATCAAGATGGGTCCCTTAATAGTCGATTGGTGGTTGATATTTAATGAATATTTCACAGTGCAAATAGATAGCAGACAGTTTGTTGTCTGGAGCCCAGTCATATTCATTGGACAGATCTGCTTTTACTTACTGTCACTGAAAAATGTAAAACTTACGCTGAAATTGTAGAGTGGGAAGAAAACTTTACCCCAAACCTTATATTCAGGAAAGGGAGGAGCAGCACAGATTTTCTTTCTTTTTTTATTCCTTACACTGACTGCCACATATTGTGCTGTCTCTTGCTCTGATCCTTTCTCTCTGGATGCCAACACGGCTGCTGGGCCGCTGGAGGGCCGTGCATGGTGGGCAGCATAGCCCCCAGGTTTGCTCACTTCTGCCTTAGCCCCACTGGAAATGGAGTGAGGTGGACTTGAAATTGATCCCCGTGGCTGAAAAGTTGCCAGGGGCATTTCCAACACTGATCTTTTTCCAAGGAGAAAAAGGCATTTAAGATGCCTGC